TCTCTCCCTCTCTCCCTCTCCCCTTCTTTTGGGGTTTGAATCCAAGGGGTACCTTACCACTGAGCTTCATCCCCAGCCCTTTTTATTTTTATTTTAAAACATTTTTAAAATAAGGGATCCTTCACAAATTTCCGTGTCATCTTTGCTCAGGTAGCATGCTAATCTTTTCTGTATTGTTCCAATTTTTGTATATACCCTTTTTATTTATAATTTTATTAAGGATTTTGCTAAGTTGCTTAGGATCTTTCCAAATTGCCTGGACTGGCGTCTAATTTGAAATTCTTCTGCCTCAGCCTCCTGAGTAGCTGGGATTACAGGTGTGTACCACCAGATGGGCTGGATAGCCTTTTGTTTGTTTGTTTTTAGTTTTGACAAATTTGGATGTACTAAGACAGACTCTCTTACCATGAAAGATTGCCTTGTCCTGGAATTTGAAGCTTCTACCTTATTTCTTTCCTTTGAAATCATTAAAACTAACCAATAAGGAATCAGTCTGTTAATCAAGGTGCAGTTCTCACTGTCTAATACTTATATATTCTGTAGGAGTCTTAGCATCTTTTAGACCTGATGTGTGGATTTTTCACATTTCAGGCATTGACCAAAATTTGCTGGATGAATTGGATCATCTATTAGGAGACTTGATTGTTAAGTTTCTATAAATGAATAGACCAGTACTATCTTGTTTGAAGCGATGTTGAAATTCCAAGAGGCAGCTAAGTGTATGTGTGCATCAACAGCTGTTTCCACTTATCCAGAGACCTTGATTGCAAGAAGATATGTGCTTCAGCAGAAACTTGGAAGTGGAAGTTTTGGAACTGTCTATCTTGTTTCAGATAGGAAAGCCAAAAGAGGAGAGGAATTGTAAGTAAAATGCTTCATACTGATCTTGGCTCCCTGTAGGTGTAACTACTGGCTGATTAAGAACATTGGATATCCTTGAACCTGGTTTTTGCATTAAAGCAAGAAGCTACTAAAGCTATTCCTTCATTTATCTCTTCAGATATGTTTTTTTTCTTTCTTCTTTTGTGGTCTTGGGAATTGAACTCAGGGCCTCATGCATGCCAGGCAAGTGCTCTGCCACTCAGTTATAACCCAGCCCCAGATAAGGTTCTTAAAGGCATTTCAATTGTGAATAAAGTATCCAAATAACCTAAAGAAGGTAAATGGGGTAGATCATATGATAATTTTTTAGTATACCACAGTCCCAATTACAATATTGCTTTCACTTAACTTGATTGTAACTTCTTGAATAAGAAAAAGAAGTAATGTTTATGACTGCACTTTTAGAAGTGTTATGAAATATAAATAAGCAGTAATTCACATTTGAGGTGAAAATGATGTACTAAAGGAAACATGGCATTAATTTTATTTGGCTTTTCTCTGAAAGAAATTTTCAAAATCTGTACTCAAAAAGCCCTCAGACTAGATATTCAAACCAAATTCAGTCTTTGTTTAAAATTAGCTTATGTTAATGACTTCCTTGTAAATTGCTTTTCTTTGGTTTTTGACCCCATAACTCCCAGAGAAAAATGTAATAATACTTTTTGGATAGTACATTTCTTCTGGATGAGGATACACTTTCATTTTTAGCTTAAAGCTTTTTTTTTTTTTAATTTTGGCAGTGAAAGTTGGAACTGAAGTTAGGATAAGAAACTTGCAATTAGAAACAGGAGCAGAGAAAGCAGAAACAAAATGATCCAAGAAATCAGCCCTTAGCCCTAGAAGACCAGATTTCCATCCCATAGTCTGTTCTTTTATTCAGAAGTTTTTTAGATACTCTGAGTTATTCCAGCTTTTTCTCATTGGATATTTAAGTGCAGATTTAAAGTTAGTGTGTGATAAATACTTTTCTACTTCTTCATATTAATAGAAATTACAAAAGCAAGTGTCACTAATGCTACTACTTTATTTTAAAGATCAACCTTTAAAGTAGTTTGTGTAGAATTTTAAAAAGTTGTAATTTTAAATAGTTTTCAATAAATTTCTACATGAAGAATGGTGAAAGAGCTGGAATTTTACTGATATTCTTAGAAAACATGCATTATGACTCCTGCCCCCCAAAGGATTTTTCCCCTTTAATCTAGAGGTGCTCTTCTAGCAGCCCAGAGTAGGATGATGAATATTTGGCAATTATTAGAGAGCCTTCAGCATTGAGCATAAGACCTAATTTTGGCCGAGGACTTATAAAAACCACACTTTGGACCATGTCAAATTTGAGTTTTTTCAACTAATGAGACAGATGAGGAATTTAA